TGCTGAAACCATGGGGTACATAAGGGACAGGAGCAAGGGGCTGCGCCATACCCCTGAGAAGCGCTTCTCAGAGGATCTAACTGTCCTCTGACACTCTGTACTAAGGAGGAATCACCATTTCAGTGCTGGAGCAGGAGGCAGGGAGAAGGTTACTGTGCCAGCTTGCCACAGCCCAGCTTACCTTCCATCTCTTTCTAGACTCTCGGAGGACTCGGAGTACTCAGTGGAAAGCTCTCCAGCCTGTAGCCTTATTCTGTATGTGATCAGCACTTAGCACAACACAAAACCGAACCGGGACCCTCTGCGGTCCTTAAACAAACTGGTGAGACAGGGCAGTGCTTTGCAGGCAGGATTGGATGCACAGAGGGACTAAGTCACTTGCTCAGGCTCCCGAGTATGGTGGGGCAGAAAGCAAAATTAAAAGCTTTCCCTAGTACTTCCTCACTAGTCAGCTCCTGCTACCTATCTTCCCTTAACCAGCTGCCAGTTTGCTGGATTCAGGAACTGCAGTTCACCTCACGCCTCCTCTCCCACGGGCTCTCCTAGACCGTCATCCTCACAGATCGCTGTACCCTGCTCCACCTGCTCTGCATCTGGTCCCTGCAGGCAACAGCAGCAAAAATAGCACGTCCTTCTCACTCCCGTTACAGAAATCCTTGGGGCCGTTTTTGTCCTGACACTTCCAATAATGCAGGCTGAGGAGACAAGGAGCTTTCACTGCTGTGCATGCCCCAGAGGGCAGGTGTTTATTAGCAGCAGGACTTTGTGCAGCAGTTCGCTGGGGAAAGATGTGAGGGGGCAGGGCTTTCACCATGGATGATGGGTACCCTTAAGAAGTGCTGGGAGAAACTCTCCCCAAAGTTCAGTTTTGCCTGGGTGAACAGAAGCAGCTACTTCCACCAGTTAGACTCAGGGATGTGGGTAAGCTTAAGGGATTAAACACACCCCAAGAAAGAAGTACCCAGATATCTCCACTGGATCCACCCGCCCACTCCCTGCTCTCAGTGCTACCTGTGCTGAGTCCCAGGGCAGCTCTGTCGGCAGCACGGCCATGCGGGCATCCCCAGCCTGCGGTGACAAGCTCCTCTCTGCTGCCACAGTCTCAGTGGATGACTCGGTGTCATTCCAAAAGGGATCCAGCGCAGGCTCGTCAGCCCTGTCCCATGGAGACACAGAAGTGGGGTGCTGATCACTCCCAGAAAGAGTCTGGGTGCCTGGGGAGCTGCCTCCAGGAGAGGGTGTCCCTACAGGTGTTTCCGCAGTCTGCTCCATTTCACTTAGCACTGTGGGCTCCAGCATCTCCCACCCCACTGTGGTCTCTGAGACGTCATCTCCGGCTGAATGCTCTTCCCCACCAGCCTCCACCGTGGTCTCTGCAAGCTCTGCTCCCGTGGTAGTCACAGTCAGCTCCGAATCTGCTCCCCCAACAGCCCACGTGTCCCCGGCTGTCACCTCAAAGTGCTCTTCTGGAATACTAGGAGACCTTGCAGCAGTAGTAGTAGAAAAAATAGGGGACATAGGCAGAAGACCTGGTCCCATGCTGCTCCCAAGGTCTAAGCCTGTAGGAACAGAGTCCTCTTCTTGCCCTCCTATGGCTGCCTCAGTCACAACACCTGGTCTGGCAGAGGCTGTGGAAAACAGAAGGGAGAAGGAGTCCTCTTGGTCCACTGATTCAGAAGAGGCAACCTCTGGCCCGGAGGTCTGGAGGCTCTCCACTCCTCCTCTTGAGTGGTCTATAGGGAGCAGACCCTCCTCTTCCTCCAGCGTGCTGGAGAAAGGCGTGTGCAAGTCAGGCTCAACAAATTCTGCCAGCGGCTGGACAGTGGCTGTTTCCCAGTTGTCTTTCACCTGTGTCCCATTCCCTTTCAGCAGAGCCTTCTGAGATGCAGTAGGAAAGCTGTAATCTAAAAAGAGATCCAAAAGACTTCATGTCATATCCCAAGTAACCATGAACTCTGAAAGGCAGAGAGTTGGCCCCACTGTATGTGTCTAGCCACAGATGGGGTCATAGGGCAGAGACCCTCTAAGAGCAGGTAGCCTGTCACTCAAAAGAACAGTCCCATCTGACAAGTGCAGTGCAACCTTCTGCTCTTCCCCAGCTCCCTGTCCCATCCCAGCAAACCCACTTTCCCTAGGGATAATTCACATGTTCATTCTCCCTACTCCTTTCTGTCCTGAAGGTGTTTTCACAGACTTGCTTGCCAGGAGATCTGCAAATAACAGCTTTGATACCTGGTATCTCAAAGGTGATGTTATAAGTGTTAAGAATTAAGCTGGGACCAAGGGATTAGTTTCACACAAGATTCAGAAAGATACTGGGCGCTAGCAGCAATCAGCCACAAGCTAAATGGGAAACACTAGGGAAAAGAAACAACAGCACAGCAAAGGAAATCCTACTCCTTGGCACGCCCAAGTAATACCACCAAAACCTGAATCAACCTGGGCATCTTTGAAACGCAGAACTTCAGTTGGTACAGCACTTCACAGCAGCAAAGTCATCCCAGAAACATCTGCATGATGAGTTTTGCTGCAAGGAAAGAGAATCCAGAAACAAGAATCAAATCTAACTCTCCTCCCTCCAACTTCAGCCCCTGGTTGTTCTGCAGCTCTGACCACGAATGCGTGTGATCTTGTTAGACAAAAGCAGAGAGATGCACCTCACAAATGTAAGGTCGGAGCAGGCAGTGGCTTCCTCTGGAAGCCCAGCAAGGAGCTGGGATCCCAGGATAAGGAGAGTATCTGTAAGATCCGACACGTTAAGCTCAGAGTGCCAGGCATAATTCCAGCAGGCATAAATCAACCTTCATCTTTCTTGAGAAACTGCCTGTACCCAAGGAGCTTCATTTCAGGACTTTGCATCCCAGTTAACTCTCTTTGTCCCCAAGATGAGCGCAGCACATTGACTGAGAAAGGGAAGGAAGAGGATCCCTCTGCAGCCAGAAACGAGCCCCCTGCCCCGTCTATGGTTACTGTTAGTAAGTGACTGAAATCCCCAAGGCCCCCATCTCCTCTCCTGCCAAAGCAGACGCTCCACTGAGCGCAGCGGGCAGCAGCTGTCTGGATGCCTTACATGGGAGATCTGCGCAACGAATCTCCGTGCATCCCTGACTCCAGTCCATCGCTTGCTGCTGCCGGAGTGGGTGCGAGCTCGCAGGCAGGGAGGGCCATGTCAGCAAACACATCCATTGCCTTGGATATTCCCTGGCAACCAGGGACTGCCCATGCTGCTCCTGTGTGCTCCTCCCCATCCCTCCCAAGCAGAGAAACACACTGCTCCCCCACCCTGAGCAGGAGGTGCATAGATGCTTCTGTTCAGCTGGCAAGTGGCTTCCCTAACCCACAGCTCATTCCCTTCATGCTGTCAGCAGCTCTCTCCAGATGCTGCCCAAAGATGAGCATGATCCAGCTGCTGACCTTCAGGGTCATGATGTGGTAACTGTCTCCCAGTTTCGGCTGCGAACAGGCCACTGAGACCTACCAACCACCGCAGGCAGAAGCAACATCCGCTTTCCTGCTCTGTTTCAGTAGAGAGCACCCATCCTGACTGAGACTCTACCCAAGGACCCTGAGGATTTAAAGATTTCTGCTACCGAGCAGCCTACCAGGTGATGCTCCCTCAGAGGCCCGGGAGGCTGGTAAGAGCAATCAGCGGCAGCACAGACAAAAACCATCTCCCCTCCGCTGCCTGGCACTGGTATTCCCAAAGGCCCTTACCCACAGCTACACATCGCCATGTCTGCAGACACAGTCACTGCCTTGCTAGATGGTTGGTGGTTAATGGCAGGAACAGCCACAGATCACAGGATTGAGGACATCAGGTCGGGACCCTCTTCAGACAGATGGTGAAGGTTTAGTGCATCTCCCTGGGCTCTGCTCCTCCTCCTGCTGCAGGGATGCTCCTGCTCAAAAAAACCCTGCCTACCCGGACATGCTATGGACGAAAAGTGAGGGGTTTGCCCCTTAAAACAAGGCCCCGTCAGATGATATGTTCTTTCTGACGATCAGTGATCCAGCCTGCCACCTCCTTTGCCTAAAGACACTCTCAGGTAGTCTCAACTCCTTTGCACCTCCTCTCTTCCCACCTGGAGGAGAGCAAGAACTGGCAGATGGGCACAGCAGAAAAACAAACAGGGAAAAAGCGGCATGAAGTTTGCCCCATGGCAGATAGAAATGCTGTTGGTCTGTCAGCTCTCCTTTGAAGTCACACATTCGACCTTTCCTTAAGGTGCTCTGTCACAGATATACTAGCTCCCGTTGGGGAAAGCGCCACATGGTATAGCCATGCTGCCTCTCCACCAACAAGATCTAAGGATGCTGGAGGGAGGCACTGCTTCCTCTGCCACCTCTCCCAGGCAATGGACGCTCAGGGAGAACTCATCCCATTCTCTCCCAGCCGGCCTCTGTCTTACAATGCGGCCAAAGACTGAAACCTGAGCTGCTTCCCTGGGCCAACAAATCAACAAGGTAGAAGCAGACACAAGAATCCTCACACTCACTACTAACTTCATTAATATCCCCACTGGCCACCAGTGTCTCCACTATCCTGCATACTAAGCAGGGAGCATCCTTCTCTCATCTGGTTCATAAGACCCCACTGATGAGAACGTCAACTCCCACAAATCTTGCAAGGGCCGTTATTCAGATTCACGTAGAGAGCAATGAAACTCGAGGCATTTTGGTCAGAGTTGTGCTGGTTTGTGCTCCTTCAAACCAGGAGCGCTCTGTACAACCCAGTTCTCAAAGCAGTTCAATCACTTTCCAGGTTCAGAGGTTCAGAGATGGTGAGTCAATCCTTCCTTCCAGACTTTCCAGCTAGACACTTAGTTCCTGTCTGGAATCACGTCCTACTGCCTCACTACCAAGGGCAACTGTCCACTTCCCAAGATCAGGTCTCTTTAAGGCACTCATTTTCTTCTAGTTTACATCCCTCTTCTATGATTTGAAGGACTTTTTGCACCCTGTCCATCTCCCCAGTATGACCCCAGCATCTTCTTCCCAAGGCTCCTTCCAGACAAGCTGGTTTCTGTCACTTATCTGTGCAATGCAGTGCTAAGAGCTTCCCTGTTCGAAGACTCTTCTCAGCATTTCCCTCGATTCCCCTTCCCGCCAGACCTAAGGGAACTCAAAGGTCATCTCCCATTTTCAGTGGCGCCTTCCAACATTCAGCTAGCAGTTCCCCTCCTGCGCGTGGTCTTCTAGACCCTACAACCCATTGGCCCACCTGGTTGTCCTCCACCTTCAGCAGAACTTCTACACCTGGCTGCCACACCCTGGGCACATGGAAGTGCAACCATAGACCTTCCCACCTGCCTACACCAGTGCTATTCACTCCCATCCCCAGCAGCTTGTGTGGAGAGAAGCAGCACCCAAGGAACAGAGAGGCCAGAGGGACCCAGGTGACCTGTGCTGCTCCTGCAGAAGTGGGGCAGGGTCTTCTGTTGAAGACGACGGGTATTATGGAGCTGACTGCAGTGCCAGATTTGTCAGGCTTGTTTATCAGCTCATCTAATTTCAGCAAGGAAGCAGAGCACTGCCAAAGAGTAGGGTGCCTGAGAAGGGAGGAGGTAGTAACTGCACACACCATCGGCTCCTTCCCTGCCAGGGTCTGCTCTGTCAGTCTCCCACCAAGATCAGCAGTAGCTTGGAGCACAAGAGGAACTTGTGGCCACACACAGAGGTGGCATGTGACACGGACCCCTTCCAGCCACAAACGAGCAGCCAAGCCATGATGGAGCCAGCCCGACCGTAGAGAGGGACAGCTCAGGAGAACTGCCCGACAGAGCCACAAAACTGTCCCAGCATCTCTGGCCAAACAGTCCAGCAAGGGATGGACCAGACGAGCGCCGTGGGCAGTCACAGCTCCATGTCACATACTCTCCCAGAGCTTCTCAGTCATACCACCCCCTTGGGAGACTGGTTCACCAATATGAAATTCCACACCTCCACCTCACCTCTTGTCACCACATCCTTAGCTACTCCCCTTAATGCCTGATGGAAGCATCAGTAGCAATGCTACTCACATTGCAGCATCCAGCTGTCTTCGTCTCCTCCACCACCCTCCCCAGCTTTTCCCTTCCAAGCTCTCTTGCAAAGACCCTCAGGCACTGTTTTCTAAAGAAACCATCTCGCATAGCCCTCCTGCCACTCCAAGTCCTGCCCTTTGCATCTCCCAGCAGACCTAGGTCTGGGTTACGCAGATTCGTTTCCTTCGCCTGGGGAGACAATTTTCCCTGGGAGGGATGAACACAAGCTCCAAAACCTCTGCAAGAGCCGCCATGTAGGTGATGTCCTGCTTGCTCTGCAATCAACACCAAAACTTTCCTGACAACAGGCAGACCAAGACTTGGCACTGCGCCAAAGCATGATTCCCCAAATTCATACATTTCTGCTTCTTCATCCAGAAGAGCTGGTCTCAGTCACTGCCCAACAAGGCTCCCTACCCTGTATTTGCCACTATTAGCTGTTTAAGCAACTGTGACAGCTCAGAAAAAGGGTGACCCTCATTGTTTTTAGTACATATAACCTGACCATAAGGTCTTTATTGGATTAAACTGGAAGATCATGTTAACCAGTGATTGAATTACTGATAACGAGAGGGCACTGTAATAAAGACAAGAACAGCCCCGGGCTCCCACCACACCACCACAGCCTGCTAGCACCCGCCAGCTTTGGGAAGTGCAAGGTGCACTCTACTCGCTGCTTAAAAAGCAGCCAGGTCTGAGGTGGTACTGCTCGCCGTTTTGCAATATAGAGCAGTGAGGCTTACTGCAAAAAGGCATATTTCATCTGATTGAAAGTGCAGGGGGATTTCAGAGAGACAAAACGCAATTACTGGTGCTGGAATTGAGCCAGTTGGGGCTAATAGTCTAATCTTCCAGAAGAGCTAGGAGAAGTTACTATGTGCGACTCCAAGACAAGTCCACACACACAAAAAGAGATCACAGCTAAAAGAGAGACCCAGGGTAGCAAAGTGGTTAGGTCTCATTACACTTGGAATTTGCTTCAGGTAGAGACTGGGCACCAAGTGCTACGGCTGTTCCCAGATAGCCCCATGCCTTTCTCCTGCTGACTGCATGAACTGTGTTAAGGCTAAAATCAGCCACCCTCACCCAAACACAGAGTCGGTCAAGGATAGCTGCACCAGAAGAACACTACGCACAGAGAAACCCTCTTTGTCACAGGTCAGCCTTTGCCAGCAACGTCTCGGTCGAGACGGCTTGTCCCGAGATAGATCACCTAATGTGTCAGCGTACACTAAACCAGGGCGTAAACAAGAGGCATCCCGGGAGCTGAGCTCAGGCAGGGGCTGCTCAGCACTAAGCTCCTTATGTAGACTGTCTTTACCAGGTGCTTCATTTCATTAATGCTTGGGCTGAAGATGGTATTAAGAACTGCAGATTTGCCGTCGTCTGGATGAAGAGGCAGCAGATTTCAGTACGGCTGAGAGATATTGGGATGTCTCTGGCCAGAGGCAAGTAACTCATCACAGAAGGAAGTAAATCTCACTACCAGAGAAGAGTTGGGGATGAAAGATATTTTATCCCATTAGCTGGTCACAAAACTTATTTTTCTTTGAATGCAGTCCTTCTAACTTGTCTGCCCTGCTACCCCTCACCCTAGCTCTCCTGCGAATCCCTTCTGCTAATTACTATGAATAATTAAAAGATTACAATTACCCCCCCCAGCGCCACATGCTATACTAATGAACCACCAACCTATACGGCTATATTTGATAGCTCCCAGCACAGTCACGCCTGGGTCTTCAAAGACCCAACCCTGCAGCTGAAAGAGCAGACTCTGGCTGTAAGGAAGTGAGTTTCATGCCAGCCCACCATCACACTGGAAGATGTGATGATGAACTCCAACCCTTGGAGGCTCAGCTGTTGGGCAAGGGAGGAGAGGGACTGAGTGCCTTCATTCACCAGACATCCCCAAGTCTTGTGTCAGTTTCTGGGAGCCTGTACTTCCCAGCAATTAACGATTAGGCTGCCTCAACCTAGAGCCTTCACTGGCAGGGGAACACATGGGGCACTGTGCTCTGAATGAGTGAAAGGAGAACACTGAGCGTGCAAACCAGGGAGTGCTCCAGGATGGATACGCCATCATTTAACTCTTTCACTAAAAATCAGGGACTCAAAGAGACCTGCAGCCCTAGTGACTCCCATCTTCGAGCCCTAAAGCCAGAAGAGAGGCTGCATCTGTTGCCCAGGAAATTCAGTGTGACAGCAGGAAGCACGGGGGATTGGAAGCCTCCAGGCAAAACAAGATGGGGAAGGTGGGAAGAAGGGAAAGTAGGACAAGCAGGGCCAGGTGTGAGTCCCTGCACGTCCACTGTATCTTCAGGGTTGATCTGTGGCTCAGGCCAATTTGATACCAAAGGTGAAACAAAGCAGCCAAACCCAAACTACAACCCGAGAATCTTCTGGGCTCCCCAGAATCCTGAAGGCAGTGGGATGCAGGAGTAACAGGTTCACAGCTCCACTGACTTGCCTCTTGGCTGAAGTACAAGTCACACGCTGCTTCCTTCCATAAGGATATGGCATCCACATTCCCACCAGACCTAATCTATCTCTTCCAGACGCAGCTCCACTAGGTAGCAGCTGTGCACGGGTTAGCACACACGCAAGCGTGCACTTCTGTGCACACTCAGACAGAATGAGACAAATCTCAGGGTCCTTCTAGAGGCCGGCACTCACTGATGTCAACTCAGATTTACTGTTTCGTAGCACAAATCAGCAAAAGGACATTATTCAGGAGAGTCAGAGCCCCGGGCTGAGCTGCGCTCTGCCAGTGGGAGTTTGTTCTCACTTTCTAATGGACTAACAGGTGGCCCTAGACACCACATGTTTTCCAGAAACATTTTTAAAGGATGTTCGAGTGCACTTAAAAACAAAAAAAAAAAAAGGGGGAGAGCAGCAGCTGCAGATTGTTATTACTTTTCATCTCTTGCAGCCTCAAAGTTGCACAAAGGCAGAGGAGTCTCCCCACACAGACTTCATAAGGACATAAAAAAAGGAGAGGTGACTAATACAGCTTTGAAATCTCAGGAGATCTGGCACATCTGCAGCAAGACCACCAATTCCAGGCCAAATATCTTTACATCAAACACAGAAAGAAGCCAGCACAGGTCTCCTTTCATAGCACGGAATTTTCTCTTTCCAGTAGTGTAACAATCCCAATTTTTTGTCTCGATTGATACAGGGTCTCAAATCTGTGCCTGGGATAGAGCTACCAACTATGCCAGGCTACACTTTGCTGTCGTTCGGAGGCAAATCTCACACAAGGAAAACTTACACTATAAACTTTTTTTTTCCTCTTCAACAGCAGCTGTTTGAAACTGTTTAATGGATTTATATGTTGAAAATAACCTAACAGATGTCATCACACAGTTCCACAAGGTATGACACGGCATCTGTCACACATGCAGCACGTAAGACCCATCGGTTGTGTGCACCTCTCCTGCACAGGCTTTGCATGACAGGAGAAGGCCGCCCAATTTAGGGATGCTATTACAATAGCCTTTATTGTAAAATGACACACAGCAGGTTTCTAATTAAATTTTAAGTAGAAATGCGCTCCCAGCTCTTGAATAATTCAAACTGTTCTATTAACCAAGGTTCTGAAATGCCACTGAGACACGAGCTCTGGACACAGCAACGGCCGGAGGAAAAAAGCAGTGCTTGGAAGCATAGAAGTGGTTAGCTGGGCAGTGGATAGGGCAGGGTACACTTAAAGGACAGCTGAAAGAGCACATCTGCTCGTGGAGGAAAGCACTGCAGGCAAGAACGGAAGGAGAGAGGAGCGTGCTCTGCATGCAAATGGGGCGAGGCACGTGCACGAGGCGAGGCTGGGTTCGGTACCCAGCGCATCTCGCTCTCAATGCACAAGCACACGCTGTTCTCCAAGTCACGTCCAGATCCGTGAGTACATGCAGGTGCCTGCTGGCACACAAATAAAAGCGCCGCTGAGCACGCTGCCAGCGCGTGAGAGCGGCTAAGCCAGCGCACGTCCCAGGGATGCGCCGGTGGGAACACCACCCGCCCCCAGCATCGCTGCGGAGGCAGCATCCGCCCAGCTTCCCCCGCGCCAGCCGCGATGGCCCTTGCCCCGCACAGCGTGCGCCGTGCCCCAGCGCGCAGCCTGAGCCGTAGCGCCGCGGCAGCCCTCAGCCCTGCGCGAGCACGCGTCTTTTCTAAGGTCACAGAAATAGGAGCGAAGACAAAACAAGACTTGTGCCTTCTAACTGCAGAACGCAGTCAGACCGGCCGAGAGGGAGGCAGCGACACCGGATAAGAGGAGGGATAAGGCTGAAGCCTGGCCCCTGGGTAACAGATAATACATGCCCCACATGACACTTAAGAGCAGGAGCATGTGAAATAATCTCCTAAGCCACTGGAAACCCTGCAATGCTCCTGCTCCTTCCTTCCATCCCTCTCCCGAGAGCATCTCAAAGCCAATGAGGGGCTCGGGGAGAGAGCCCTCAGTGGTCTCAAAAGACACTCCACAGAGGAAAGCAAGCTAAATGCTAACGAAACTCATTTTGGCCATGACTGCCCAGGGAGCAGGCAGGACAAGGTAGGCAACAGGACAGCTGCCCAGGGGAGAAAAACTGCTGTCTTCTCTCAGACCAAATCCCCACTAAAGTCACAGAGTGAGGAATCCAGAATTCAGACCAGGGAACTCAGCTTTGACTCAGACTCCAAGATGGCCTTGATCTCTGAGCTGGGGTCCTGAGATCTTTAGGTTGTGCTCAATTGACAGCAACAGAAAGAACGAAGAGAGAAGAGAGCATAAAAGGGAGAAGGAGAGAGAGAGAAAGAAGGGCACAAGGCAACAGGAAACTAGGTGGAGGTAATACTTTTCCCAGCTCATAGCAACTCAGGAATAAAGGCTCAGCTGTAACTTGGTTTCTAAAGCCTGAGCTTGCTCAGGGTTCACTGGGGACACATCAGGCACTGAGGTGAGAAAACAGAGCTGACATTTAATCTCAGGCCCTCTTAGCAAGAGTTGTGTCAAAGCAGGAGGACAGATCCCTGCAGCCTTCCGTCTCCCCAGAGTCTCTGCAGAGCAGGGAGGAAGAGC